TCGGGGGTGGGAGTGAGAGGGAAGAAGTCACCACAGTCTCCCAGTAGGATGATCTGAGGCCCTCTCTAAGCAGAGAAGCCTGGCTGGACTGGGCACAGCCCTGTGCCCAGGGATGCCCGGCGGGTCAGCAGCGAGCCCGGAGGGAGGGAGGGTGGGAGGTTTCCAGCCCTGGAACTAGACTTCCCTCCTGCTCTGATTGCCCCACACAGGCAAATGCAGCGACCACGGTGCCCGTCACACAGCCCCCTGGGGCCTCACAGCCAGCAGTTCTGCAGCCATCGGTGGATCCAGCCCAGCCGACCCCCCAGGTACTGTTGACCTCTCCAGTGAGGGAAGCACCTGGACCAGAAGCCGTGCCGGGGCTGGGGGTGGGCCGAGAGCTCCCCTGCACGAGTCACTGTCATGTTTAAAGTAGAGGGACTGCCTAACACCCCACCCCCAAATCACCCACCGTCACTATAGCAAAAACTCCGTGACAGGCTGCGCCCTGGTGGCTTCAGAAGAGAGCGCGGGACCCTGTTGCACTGCGCCAGCATTGGCCAGGCTTGAGCTTAGGCCTTGTTCTCTCCTGCTCAGGGCTCAGGCTCTCTTCCGCCTCTGCCTCCTGCCTTCCTGCCTGCCTTCTTCCTCTCCTGTGTCCTCTTGCTCCATCGCCGCCTTGCTGCCCTCCCCATGCCCCTCACGGTCTGGGGGGATGAGACCCACAGTGGAGTTGTGTATTGCAGCTCCTGCTTAGACAGGCCGGCAGGTTCCTGCCCGCCAGCTTCCTGGCAGGGAGCGAGGTGTCAGAGAGGCAGACGCTGCTAGGAGGAGATAGTGTTCTCAGAGACAGCTACACGCGAAAGCTTTCGAAGGTAGGCCAAGTGTAGATGACACAAGGGAGGGCGAGGCCCCGGAACCTCCCACGTGGGCAGGGCTTAGACCCTAGTGGGCCCCAGACAACCCCCCAAGTCCAGCGGTCTGTGGTGAAAGCAGTGCCCTCGACCGTGGCGGGGAGGCAGGCGGTTCTTGTTCAGCTGGGGCGTGGGCTCACCCAGCCAAAGCCACAGACTGGGCAGAGAGACCTGTGGCTCCATGGCCTTCAGTGTGGCCATGCCGCTGCTCTGATCACCCCCTGAAGGCAAGAATAGCTCTTGGGAGAACTGCTTTTGGAGAGGGAGGGATCCACGCACAGACCTACATATGCTTGGTCTGTCACCCTACAAAAGACGTTTGCTGTATTCTCTTCAGAAATCGCTAGATCATTCTTCAAGAAAACCCAATACAAGCAGCTGCAGCTTCCCTTAGAAGCAGGGCACTGGGCTAGAACTCTGGGCTCCTGGGCCACTTCTGTCCAACTTCCCCTAGCGACTGCACCCAGAGCCCTGTTTGGCCTGGAGAACGCAGCATGTTGGGACTCGGCCTACGGGTGCTGAGAGCCAGGCAGGGCAAGGCCGTGCCTCGGGAGCTGCCCTGGGCAAAAGCCAGTCCTAGCTCAGGCTCAGGTAGCCTTCAGTGCCTCCTATGGGCAGAGCAGGGGCGCTTAAATACAAACCCCCCAGCTCAGGGCCTCTTGTCCATCTTCAGGGGTCCTCCTCCCTCCCCACTAACTGCTTTGCATGGCTCCCTGTCACACTCGGCCGTCCCTACCCCTACCCCCCAGGCTTTTCAAGGGATGCTTGGGTCTTGGTTTCTGGCTACAGGCTGGACCCTTGGGAGGTCCCTTTCCATTTGCTGTTACCTGGAGGTCACTGTAGCTGGACGGTGTCAGCAGCTACTCGGCTTAGTGCTCCTGTCTTTGGCTCAGGGGTGAAGGGGGCGGAGGAGGCGGAGAGAAAGCTGCCATGATTCTAAGGGGCCAGAGGTGTGCCCTCCCTGTGGGGAACTCTTGTTCCCAAGATGCTCTGGTGGGGCTGGGACGCCCTGCCTGCCAGGCGGACACTAACCCTCTTGCGTCTGCTCCCCCCCTGGCCGTCCCTGCAGGCTGTGGCCTTGGCAGCCCAGGCAGGCCTGCTTCGGCAGCAGGAGGAGCTGGACAGGAAGGCTGCCGAGCTGGATCGCAAGGAGCGGGAGCTGCAGAACACAGTGGCCGGCTTGCACGGTCAGGGGGCGATGGGCTCCCTGAGGGGGGTTGGGCTGGGAGAAATTCTGGAGTCCTGCAGAGAAGGCCCTGCTAGCACCCACGCCCCAAGACAGACACCTTGTCCCCGGGCAGCCTTGCAGGATTGACTGAGCTCCTGACTGAATGTGCCGGTCAGCAGTAATGGTCATCCTGAAGGGTGGTGGTTTCCCAGCTCTGAACTTCTGTGATGGAGTGGGGGGCTGATCCCACAATACCCTGCCTGTTGACATGCTCCGGGCTGGTTGTTAATCACGAAAGTCTCGAAAGCCATTTCACCCTGCGTGTCTCACAGTGGCATGCGGCTGGGTCCCTGCTCCCCTCCGTGTCCTAGTCTGGGAGCCCCGGTTTGGCCCCTAAACCGGGCCAGGGAGTGTGCTCTCAATGCTGCTTCTGAGGCAGCCCGCACCCCATCTCCCCTTTCTCTCTGCGCACAGTGAGGGAGAACAACTGGCCGCCCCTGCCCTCCTGGTGCCCCATCAAGCCCTGCTTCTACCAGGACTTCTCCACCGAGATCCCCGCCGACTACCAGCGCATCTGCAAGATGCTCTACTACCTCTGGATGCGTGAGTCCTGCGCCTGCGCCGGGGTGCAGGGGGCTGCGACTCGGAGCTTCTGTTCTTAGGCCGCGCCTGCACTTTGGGGGTGTAGGGTGTTTCCTCCCCACTTCCGGCTGACCGCAGCCGGCCAGGTGCCTGTTGCCAGCCCTGGAATGGCCCACTAGAGCAGTGCATGCCACATTTTGGGGGAGGAGGGGTGCAGATTAGCTAGATGAGCCTCCTGTGCAGTCCTGGTACCGGGCCGGGGCCCTTTCACAAGGTTCACGGGAAAGTAGAAGGAAAAGGCAGTGGAATTTCTCCAGGAACTTCTTGGAGCCGCCTCATCTGAAAGCTTTAGGTGAAGGCCGCCTCTCCTCTCGGCTCAGAGGCTCTGGGGAGACCAACAAGGCTTCCTGTGACTGTGCTGTGAGCCACACAGGGCCAGGGAAAAGAGGGGCTGAGCAGTCCTGGGTTCCCAGGCACCCTGTGCCCCCTCAACACCTGGCTTCCCCAGTCCTTCCTAGGAACTGTGTTTGGCCCCTGGTCTTGACATCCCCAAATCCCAAGTTTTGGGGGTATGACACTGCCCAGGGCCATCTGCTGTTTCTGCAGCTGCTGCCATTGCCTGGACCCCTCTGCCTCCTCCAGGGGGTGTTTGACGTGGGGGGTCCTTCAGTCAGCCTCCCTGGTGCCAGCTTCTCCCTCCCTGCCTCCCCACAGTGCACTCAGTGACGCTGTTCCTGAACCTGCTGGCCTGCTTGGCCCGGTTCACAGCTGACGCTTCCAAGGGAGTGGACTTTGGCCTCTCCATCTTGTGGTTTCTGCTCTTCACCCCCTGTGCCTTCCTGTGTTGGTACCGGCCCATCTACAAGGCCTTCAGGTGAGTGGGCAGGGACCAGGGTGGGCAGGTGGGGATTACAGGTAGCCCTCGCAGTCCTGGAGCAGAAAGGAAGAGTGAGGAAATCCACTTTCCCCTTCCCACCAAGGGCCAGCGCACACCAGGCCCCGGAGCCTGCCCTCACCTCTCAGGGCTCCCACCCACTGAGGGAGGCAGGGCTGCCCCTGAGGCCCTGTGTGTGCTTCACCAGGGAGCCGGCACACTGCTCCCAGGGACCTGTCTGTCCCTCTTACCGGGTGCTTCTCTGCCTCCCCACGTTCATGAGGCCACCTGGGAGACCCCAAGGGCTTCTGGAATTGGACCTCAGAAATGATTGGCCCAGGCCTGGGAGGCCAGCAGGCCCGAGAAGAGGGGGCAGGGCAGCAGCAGAACCGTCTCAGACACTGCACAGGGGCCCTGGGTTCAAAGCTGCAGCTGCAATCATCGCCTGACCCCACTTCCTCTCCGCATGTTGGGGTTCCCTCAGCCAGCCTGCCCTGGTTCCAGCCCTCTTCTCCCTTGAAGGGTTCCGCCTGGTGTTCCCCAGGCCCCCAAATAGCTTTTCCTCCACCCAGGTCTATGGTTTTATTTATTATTCGAAATTCAGGCTGTTAGCTCAGTTGTGGCAGTTTTGTTCCCACCGTGCAGTGCAAATTGATGCTCTGGGGGATGGGGGTCCCCAGTTGCCCTGTGGGGAGTGGCTCGGGCGCTCTGGCTGGCAGGCAGGGAAGCAGGCCCAGGCCCCCAGTGACTGTCATTTCCTGCTCTCTCCACAGGTCGGACAACTCTTTCAGCTTCTTCGTGTTCTTCTTTATATTTTTCTGTCAAATAGGGATCTACATCATCCAGCTGGTCGGCCTCCCTGGGCTGGGTAACAGGTGAGGCCTGGGGCCAACAGAGGGGCTTAGGCTTTCACCGGGGCCCACCCACCGTGCACCCAATGGTGGACCAGGCCCCATTGTTCCTCACTAGCAGCCGTTACTGGCTTGCCTCGCTCCCACTTTCACACTTGACTGCCTCCGCTCCCTACCGTCCCGTTCCCGCAGGCCCCACCCAAGTGCTGGGACGCGTGTTGGCGTCATTGTGTGGGAATCGGCCCCACGGCAATGGGTTCTTGGTCTTTGGCTTTGGTTTTCTGACCCAAGAGCCTTCTCCCAAGAGGCTGCTTGAGTGTCTTGGGCGCTGCAGTTCTTAGCTCAGAGAGGAGAACTGACAATGCATGTTTTCCTTCGTGCCCCGGAGCATAGGGATCCTTGCTCCTGTCTGAAACCCTGAGCCCGGCAGGACCACCTGGCTTCAGTCCCCTCCCTCCATCACATCCAGAGCCTGACTCACCTGCCCTCCCTCCCTCCAGCCTTTCCTCCTGCCTTGCCCTTGCTGGCCCGGCCCATTCTCTCTGACCCGGCCCATTCTCTCTGACCCATGACCTCATTTCATCGCTCACAAGATCCTGGTAGACAGGCTGTGTGTATGACTCATAGCTGCTGATGTTTGCCTCTTGGCCAGGAGTCGGGGGCGTGGGTTCTGGTTCTGCCTCGGCCCTTCCTGGCTAGCCTGGGTGCGCTCTGCAGACTCCGCCTCCTCAGGCCTTTCTAGAGCCTTCCATGACTGTTTTCTCACTTCACCCCCTAGCACCCAGGAAATGGGCAGGTAGTGAATGCGTGCTCTCATTCCCTCCTCCTCGTTTTCAAGTGGTTTTCCTTTCGCGTCGTGTGTGCTGGTGGAATCCGTGTAACGGGCACCTTGCTGGAAGTGTACAATTGGGTGGCGTTCAGTCCGTCCGGAGTGCTGTGCCACTGCCGCCCCGGCGAGAACCCCCGTCACCGTGAAGCACACGCCCCATCGCCGCCACCGCCTCCTCCTCCTCCTCCTCCTCGGCCGGGGCACACACTGCACTGCTTGTGTCTGACTCTCCTCTGCCGAGCGCCCCGTTGTCGGGGTCCCCCATGGTTGGCCGGTGTCAGTATGTGCTTTCTGTTTAGGGCCACACGGTGTTCTGCTGTGCGAATGTGCCCGTTTCTCAGCATTGTGTTTCTCCATTCACCAGTCCATGGACTCTTGACCTTTCAGGAGGTCTAACTAATTTTATTTTTAATAAGTCATTTTATTGGGGGCTCTTAGAGATCTTCTAACCATCTATACATCCTCTGTGTCCAGCACACTTGTACATATGTTGCCATCATCCTCTTCAAAACACTTTCTTTCTGCTTCAGTCCTTGGTATCAGCTCCTCCTCTTTTTCCTCCCTCAACCACCCTCCCTCCCTCATGAGCCCTTGATAAATTGTAATTATTATTTCCATATCTTACACTGTCCGCTGTCTCCCTTCACCCATGTTTCTGTTGTTTATCTCCCTGGGGGTGGGGGTTATATGTTGTTCATTGCAATCGATTCCCCCTTTCTCCCCCTACCTTCCCCCTACCCTCATGATATCACTACTCCCATTACTGTACCTGAGGGGGTTATCTGTCCTGGATTCTGTGTGTTGAGAGCTCTTATTTGCACCAGTGTACATGCTCTGGTCTAGCCGGGTTTGTAAGGTAGAGCTGGGGTCATGATAGTGGGGGGAGGACGCATTAGAGAACTAGAGGAATGTTGTGTATTTCGTTGGCGCTATACTGCACCCTGGCTGGCTCATCCCTTCCTTGTGTCCTTTCTGTGAGGGGAAGTCCATTTGTCTACAGACAGGCTTTGGGTCTCCACTACAGCCCCCTCATTCACATTGATATGATTGTTTGTTTTGGGTCTTCCCATGTCTGATACCTGAACCTGTTCACACCTTCTGATCACTCAGGCTGGTGTGCTGCTTCCATGTGGGCTTTGTTGCTTCTCAGCTAGATGGCCGCTTGTTTATCTTTAGGCCTTTAAGACCCCAGAAGCTATATCTTTTAATAGCCGGGAACCATCAGCTGTCTTCACATTTACTTATGCACCCATTTTGTCTTTAGCGATCGTGTTGGGAAGAATGCCAGGTTACTAAAACAAAGTGTTCTTGCATTAATTAAGGGAGTACTTGAGTAGAGACTCAGTGTCCATCTGGTACCTTAATACTTCACATATTAAATACATGCACATAGGTCTAACATGTTTTCCTATGGTTGTGCATGCCTTTGGTGTCCTGTCCAGGGAACCAATGCCAAACCCAAGGTTAGGAGGGTTTGTCCTTAGGTTTTCTCCCAAGTATTTATAGTTCCAGCTCGTGAAGGTAGATCTTTGATCGGATTGAGATATTTATATGTAGGGTCAAGGTCCACTGTCATTCTTTTGCATGCCGTTAGTCAGTTGTCCCACCGCTGTTTGTTGAAGAGGTTTTTGTCTTCTCCATTGAATGGGCTCAGCACCCTGGTCAGAAGTCAGTTGATCTTAGATAAGAAGGTTATCCCTAGACTGCCAATTCTATTGGTCTATATGTCTGACTTTATGCTAAGCACCACACCATTTTGATTGCTAGAGCTTTGCGATACCTTTGGGAATGGGAAAAGTGAGAATATTATCCCGTTTACAGAGGAGGACACTGGGACGTGGGGAGTGACATGATCGACTAAGCAGAGCCGAGGGAGGAGGGCAGAGGAGGTGTCCCTGGCCCCTGTGGGGAGGACAAAGTGGCAGAGGGGTACCGTGGGTTGGCCAGTGGCCTTCCTTCCCGGAGTGCAGGCTCTCAGGAGTGAGCCACCAGGCCTTCCTTGCCCCCTCCCCCAACTCCAAGCAGCCGGAAAAGGCTCTTCCAGGGCTGCTCCTGAGTCTGGGCAGCAGCGCCCTCACTTAGCCGCTGACTCCCGTGTAGATCCAAGCCAGCTCCGAGGCCCCACATGCTCCTGGAAGCCAAGGACCTCTGGCCCCTGGGCTCAGGTGGGCCAGCCTCGGCAGCCATTCAGAGGGGAGTCCACTTGCCCCTCTGGCCTTCCCCTCCGCCCCCTGTAGTGGTTGGATCGCAGCCGTGTCTACACTGAAGCTTGACCCCCTGCCCGTGTCGGTCATCATGATGGTGGTGGCTGGCTTCTTCACCCTCTGCGCTGTGCTCGCCATCCTGCTTCTGAAGCGGGTGAGTCGGGGGACGCAGACCTACCTGTCCGGCGGCAGTGGGGGCTGCTGTCTCCCACCTTGCTGGGGCCTTCTGGGCCCTGGAACGTCAGGGGCTTCCTCCGGAGCTCCGGGTGGGGTGAGTAGGCTTAGGACGCTCACCTGGGTGCTCCTCTCCTGCAGGTGCACTCCCTGTACCGCCGGACGGGGGCCAGCTTTCAGCAGGCCCAGGAGGAGTTTTCCCAGGGCATCTTCAGCAACAGGACCTTCCGCAGTGCTGCCTCGTCCGCCGCTCGGGGAACCTTCCAGGGGAATTAGCCCTCCCAGCTCACTCTCCTCCCTCTGCCCCAGCCTCTTCTGCCTGCCTTTGGGAGCCGCATTTTCCAGGGGTGCCTTAGGTGGTGGTGTGCCCCACCCCCGCACAGACCTGAGGGGAACTGGCCCTGGCTCTTCCGCCTTCCTAGGCAGTCAGTTCTCTCTTCCACCCGAGGGGAGGTGACGGGGAAAGGGACTTATTTTTACACGAGAAGGAAAAAAAAGGTTTTTCCCTGGTGGTGGTTTGAGAGGGTTCTGTTTTCTCTTTGGAAGCAGTGGACCTAAATTTACACACACACACAC